CACTTTTATTTCAGAGGAATTACCTTAAGCTTCAAAAGGTCCACAGCGGGAGCTTTCGTGGTACCCACATTTTAGGATTTTGAGCCAATAAAAAATGACAAGAAATATTTGACTATCAACGGATTTAGAGCAATGCTTTCTTTAACTTTACGAGTAGACGGTATTCGAAGCAATCATTTTTATCGCTATTAAAAGTTATGAAAGTGTCATTTAATGTGTTGTTTTAGAATTGTTACCTCATAGAGGAGAAAAAATATTTCAAGCCACGCCCACAAAACAGGATCTTGATACCTCTTAGGGGTTCTTTTCAAAATTTCTGACGAGCACCCCCATCCTTTTGATATAAGAGTCCCACCGCGCCCCCACAGTGTTTGACCACATTTTTAAACATCGAGAAGAGAGTTAAAAATACGACGCGTAGCGGAGTATTTTTGACGAACTTGGAGGTGTTTGGAAATGTGGTCAAACAATGTCTTGAGTGTTTGATGATATATTCTCAATCGGAACTAAGAATAAAATCGCAAAAAATCTATGCTAGTTTTAAAAGATCAGACAACCAGACACCGTCACGGTCTTGGTTTCCTTTGTCCAAACTTCATTATTTAATTTATAATGCTTGTTAATGAACTATTGGTGTCGTATAGGTGTCAAGGTCACGCGATAAAAACTGTCGCAACAGGTCATTTGAGTTAGGAAAGGAAAGAATGCGTGACCTTGCCACTGTATGCTGTTGTTATTGTTGCTGTTGTTGTTGTTTCAATATTGTTTTCAAATCAATCGCTGAAACTCCAGAATTCAGCTCTGAGTCAGTTGTTGTAACCCTTGAGGGGGAGCGGGTTGATACTGCCAAGAGAATATGAAGGGTCACGGAGGTAATCTCCCATATAGTCCTTATTCCTAACGTAAGCCTTACCAAGCTATTTGTGGACCACTCCCGTTTTGGGAAACTCACGCACTCCAGAACGGTCTAGAAGTAGGTAATTTAGCTCACAGGGGCATCCCATGCAGAATCACCAGCATTTTTATCCTCCCGACAAAAATGCTCCTACAACGCGAGTGGTAACATTATCCGTAGGAGAACTGGGTACTATCTCTAAAAATAACTTGCAGGCATTACCTTGGGATCAAGGCCTGTATGTGGGATTAACCCTTGTACTCTTCATCCTCTCTTGATACAGCTTGTTTACTAATGCGGGCAAGCTGCCCAATTTGGTAGGATTTTTGCAAGCAAAAAAAAGTAGGTTGCCATACAATTCGCTATCAAAGTTAATTTACGTTACATAGTTTATAAGTTTAACAAGAATCTTTTAACTATAAAAAATTGCGATAAAATATTTCTAAGCATATTGAGAAAAAACGACGAGCTCGACATTACGCTCAATCGCGCTGAATTATATTCAACGTACAAGCCCTAATCCACCCAAGGCACTGGAATGCTTAGAAATATTTTATCGCAATTTTTTATAGTTAAATGTTTAGAAAAATCGCTTCTTATTCGAATAAGAATCTTAATTGCCTAAAACAGTAAGCGAAACATTGAAATGAGTTTTGGACGTACATCGTGGCAATTCATTTGGTTGATTTAAAAAAAAAGGCAATGTTAGGTTAGAGTTAATCTGAACAAAAATAGTGACGACGTCTACCACTCTTTATTCCGAGACAAATAACTATCACCATCCGGGTTTTTCGCGCCATGCGACCTGTAAGGCCTCGAACGGGAGTGGCCAATGGTTCGTGCGCTGGACTCCGCCGGAATCGAGCGGTCCGGGATCGAGCGTTCGGGCTCGAACCCTGCCAGGGATAATGTGTCGTGTTTTTTGGCAAGCCGACACTTTACTCTCACAGCGCCTCTCTTCACCCAGGTGAATAAATGGGTACTGGCGATTTCAACGCTGAGGGGTAACATTTCGACGGACGAGTATCCCATCCAGGGGAGGGTAGGGATATTAGACGCGTCATGCTACGGAAACCGGGACAAGTTCCGCCGGAATGGACAACTTCACAGGAGAGACAACCATTCTAGACGAAAAATGAGTCTAATAAGTAAACAGATTATCCGCAATTTTACAGCGTAATTTTTCTGATAGCCCGTCGTTTAAAGCACGCTAAAGCAGTAAATTTGCTTAATGTTGTACTCCGTCTTGCGCTGGTCTGAGCCGCACGCGACAGCTGTGCTGAGTAATCCGTCTATAGCATATGAACGGCAATGAATATCTACACAGTTCATTCGCTAAACATACCTGCACTTGCAAATATGATATTCAGTTTTGAAACGTATCTTAACTAAGTAATTCATTAAGACGGACTGACGCCCTTGCTTTTGTGCATCATCGAAGACAATTTGAAGGCCTAGTGCGTCCGAAAGTACGTCATAATCACGGTTTTAAGGTCTGTCCAAACTGTAAATGTTTGGCGACCAAACATCATCTGACATTGTTTGGTGACCAAAGATGCTGATGATGAAGTGAGTGGCCAAACGGTTAAAACATGTTTGATCAAACACAGATCAAACAATGGATACAAGCCACTCAGCAAGCGTGGGACGCATGCCCGCGCCAAACATGTTTGATACGGCTTTCCAAACGAACAAAACATTTCCCCTCAAACACGAGAACAAAAGATGTGTTTTAAGTTGTTTTAAAATGTTGGGTCACCAAACAATGTTTGATGGTGTTTGGTCGCCAAACGTTTCCCGTTTGGACAGGCCTTTACACATAAAATAAACAAACAAACAAATAAATAAATAAATAAATAAACAAGGAAACAAGTAAACAAATAAATGAATAAATAAACTGAATGGTTTTGAATCGTTTTTAAATACTTTACCGCGGATCCTTTCTTTCGGAATCAAGCTCAAAAACTCTTGATAAAGTTGCATTAGGTTTCTTTCTCCTTTGTAAAATAGCTTAAATGGAATCAAACACGACTTCTTTTTATAAACATGAGGCAGTTTTAATTGACATGCCAAAGGCATTTATTTAGAGAGTCTTTATTTAGAAAAGTTTCTGGGTTGATCAAATAGTCTGTTTTGTTTATTCTACAGGCTGCTATCCGCACTCCAGAAGATGAATCAACAGGCTCTCGAAATAAGGAGAGGAACATGGCGCAACCGCATCGATTCCAAGAAATTTTTCATAATATCCTGTTCAATGGGTTTAATTTTCTTCTCTCTCACTTTCATGTACACATTCACAAACCCACTACAGAGTGCACCATTAATGCAACATCCCAAGAGGGTGAATATGATGTTAATGTCTTTTCCAAGATGGGGATCTTCATTTGTGGGCGAAATTTTCAATCACCACCCTGGTGTGTTCTACCTTTTTGAGCCATTACATCCTGTGCAAAAAAT